ATTTTCACCTCTTACTATCAAAATGTCCTATCTGAACAGCAGCAAGGCAGAAAAAGACTTTCTGAGGAAGGTCAAAAATGAGCTGATATGGTATATAACTGGCATTAGGAAGAAAGCTACTCTCTACAGGGCTTCAGGGCTCCTAAAGCATCCAGAATCCACCTGATTAGCAAAGAACAGACTGAAGGTTCTCAACCAGTAACTGCAGATCCTTCTAAATTTTGTATCATCTTGAGCAATCCTGTCTACAGAACGTGAGATGAGTCCTAATGAATACAAGATAAATTTCTACAAGATCAATTTCTAGGGAAAAAAAAGAAAAAGAAAATTGAAAAGGGACCAGGCCATACTTTTTTCCCCGACCCAAGTTTGATGATATTAGTTATAAAGCAGTCAAAGGTAAAAATGTAGATAATCCAAGTTCTTTCCTGGTATCAAGTCCTATTGGGCTTTTAAGTGAGGTTTTTAGCCAAGGCAAACAAAACAGTAGATGACAGAGTGACAAAATTAACAGTTCTCCAATAAGTCGAACACTCATTCAACAGGCACTGTCAGACACTAAAGATGTAACAGCTGTCACTTCTGCCTTTATGGAAGACATACAATCCACTAAAAACATTTACACATGTCAAATTCTTTAACTCTTCCATCATGTGCTTTGGTCAAGAGAAAAACAGATGCAAGAAGCACCTACGTTCAGAGCAGAACCAAAACCAATGACAGCAGGAACTTGAACACTGAACATGGGGGCAGAAAGGGAATCTTGGGCACAGACAACCATAAACAGGACTTCCAAGGTTCTTGAGGCTTGGTTTTGGTCCAGTGGCCCCAAATAATGAAGTAGAATGTGTCAACTCTTAAAAGCAGAATACAATATTCTAGATTAGTGAGAATGAGTACCTTCATTTCAGAAATTCTTAGAGGAGTAATGTGTTTGACTATAGACACTCAGATTTTCTACAAAGGGCTCACATCTGTGTGAGAAGAAACCTGCAACCATGTCTCCTTGCTTCCCACAAAACCCTGTCGCCTGTAAACACAAACCCAAGAAGAGCCACCCAAATCCACCCTGGAGATAGAGGCTACTAAAGTATGTCCTTTGACAAACAGCATCAATCGCCACTCCACATGTTGTTTATTTGTATTTAACTAATTCTAGTTGGTCTAAAATGTTTACTTATGCTATGCTAGAGGTTCAAGTCCCACAAATGTCAGATTCCAACAGGTACTGTAATTATCTAAACTTCCAGACACAGCGATTTACAGTAGCATCTTACCTACTACTTGGTAAGACTGGGTTAAAATGCTGCTTTCCAGCCCTGCCAGCCCCAGGGCAGCCAGAGCTCCCCCACTGGGCACCGGGGGCCAGGGTAAGGTGACCTGGACAACCTACTCTAACTTGAATGTAGTGCTTCCTGTGTACAAGGAGGATGGCAACAGCACCTGAAACCCTAGAGTTCCCATGGGGGACAGATAAGGTCAACACCTGGGCTCAGGTGTGGCACAGTCCAGAGCCTCTCCCATGTTTCACTAAGCTACACAAAGGCAATAACTCTACCACTCTACCAAAGCTTGACCTATCCACACAGGAGCCCCATAGTATGATGCTTCTTCCCCTACCACTGGATCATATTCTAATTATAGCTTCAGTCAGTTTACTGTGTCTAAAAATGTAGTTATAATAAGGCTTAAATACTATTTTAACTGATTATAACCAAGGTTGGTAGCAGAACACCTTCATGTTCTTAAAGAGGTGAACTTTGAGTGATGTTTCTGGTGTTTTTCTCTTAAGCTTCCAGCTGCTTAAGATGGGAACAAGGCCATTTATGTGGCAGAAACCTGTATTCCCATTTTTGTCCCTAAACCACTTCATTAGTGTTAATGCAGGTCAGAATATAAGCATATTAGCTAAAAATCCCATTAAAACTGAAAAGCTGATCTATATATGCTTATCTAGGTTTTATTTCCATAGAACCCAGAAAAATGAAAAAAAAATGCTATAGATTGTACACATCATAATCAGAAACACATTTAAGGAACTCTCAATAAAATCTGGCACAATTCCTAAGAGTTTGTACCAGAACTGGGAGACAAATCTCACCTCTCTAGCACTAGGCTGCCTTCTGACAGTAATGAAATGAAATAAACTTTTGCCAAAATGATGGCAGAGAGAAAAAGCAAAAAAACTAACATAATCCACTACTAAATACAACTCAGGGAAAAGACAAAAAATAACTTCAGGGTGTATTTGATAACCTCAGTGGGCCGTAGTTCACCTGAGTCAGAGGCGGCCCTGACAGTCACCACTTCCTATTCCAGCCTCAGCAACGGTAAGCACCCCAGATATTTGAATGCATTCAGAAACCACCTAATTCAAATAAGGTCACTTATTTTGCTGAATTTAAAATCCTTTAAATTTTTTACATTTTAAATAATTTACACAAGTATCAGTAATTTTTTTTTAATTTTTTTAACCAAAAAAATTCAATTCACAAATATTAAAATGGCATTTTTTTCCCCATGCATACAAGGAGGATTAACTCCAGGGGCACTTCCCACTAGCCACATTCCCAGCGCCCCCTTTTTTTTTAATTCTGAGGCAGGGTCTTGCTAAGTCTCTGAGGCTGGTTTTGAACTTGTCATCCTCCTGCCACTGGGAATATAGGTGTGTACCACCATGCCTGGCCATAAATTTTAATTTATTGAAATGTAAAGCAAGAAATGTTCTAGGTGAAAATTTGTCAAAACCGAAAATGCTTAACTTCAAAACAGATGAATATATTTTATTAACACTTTTGATGGCATCTTTTGTAACAACACAATTTTTAATTATTTTCTCAAAATTAAGACACTATAAAATATAGGGGGAAAGTTTTCATAAAATATTTAGAAGGCTAGGGTTTGTAGCTCAGTGGCAAAATGCTTGCTTAGCACATTTGAGGCACTGGGTTTGATCCTCAGCACCACATAAAAAATAAATTAATTAAATAAAGGCATTGCATCCATCTACAACTAAAAATTCTTTTTTTAAATATTTAGAGATGTGAACAAAGATCCCACCTCTCTAACTGAAATCATCATCCAATTTTCAAAAATTTTTTATTATAAAATAGTGTAATATACTGCTCCTTCTGCAACATAATTTTAAAAAGCTTTTTTTTTTTTTTAATGAATACCTTTATTGATTTATTTTTATGTCGTGCTGAGGACTGACCCAGTGCCTCATGCGCGCTGGACAAGCACTCTATCACTGAGCTACACACTAGCCCAAGCAGCTACCTTTAGTAATATGATTTTCTTCAACAATTTCTTCAACTTCCTAGTGAGAAAAGTTACCTGACCAGCTCATGAGCATGGTCATGAGGACTGAGGCTGAGTTACATAACTTCCAGCAACAGGCGTGGAGCTCTGTTGAAGCCACAGGATCCCCCTGTCTTCTAACCCTACTCCAGCCAGGGGCTGCCCTCAAGAGAGGCTGCTGAAGCCCCATCAACTCTAGGAGCTTGAACCCAGTATTCTTTGCCCCAAACCGTTAAGAACAGTTGTGAATTATCCTGAGGACCTGATTCTGATGCTTTGCTAATGCCATCGTTGGCTCCTTTCAAATACAATCATCTTTTATTTGAAAGTGACAACAAATTCTTTAGCAGAAAATACTATAATATTGATCCTGATGTTTTGCTTCTCTGGCATTTAGTAAACTAAGTGTTCAAAAGCGATTCAGCTTGTTTTTTCTTACAAGGACAGCCATTAATACACAACACTTATATTAATGAAGATATGGAATACAAACGTCCTTAAAAAGTTTCCTCTGGGCTCAGGACGCAGCTCCGTGGTATTGTGCTGGCCTAGCGTGTGCAAGGCCCTGGGTTCATCCCCAGAAAAAGTTTCCTGTTTAGTTATTGTAGGGATTTTTTAGTTACCTCAAGACAACCAGATGAATATATCGTCTATACTGTATCACAACAAAAATAAGTTGAATGCTACTTTGTATCTTGTAATCACTTCATCCATAAACTTTGTTTCAGTCTTCAGAGGTTTTCCCAGACGCGGCCACGGATTCAGAATGTTTGATAGCCTTTCGAAATGAGTAGTTTCTACTACCCGTTTTACAAATAAATTCGAGTGAGGCTCTGGTATTTCATGTCAACGGACTATTTTCACCAACATGAAAACATTTACAGTCTAAGTAAAAATCTCGGTGACGAGAGAAGTCTCAAATACAAACCCCGCAAACTCCTACACTGCATTGTGCTGGAGCCGACTCCCACCCAGCTCCCACCCGCTCCCCTAACTACAACATCACTATTATCGCAGTCTCACTGCCAAAACCCAGCTGCAGGCTAACTAGGCAAGAATGAGACACTGTTGAAATGGCTCTAAGGAAAACAAAAAACAAAAAAACTTTATCCCCGGTGCATTTTCTACAAAATCCTGCAATGATACGAAGCCGGGTGAGCACGCCCCGTTTCCCTGGGCGGGAAGGGGTGCCACCGCAGCAGCCCACCGAGGAGGCCGGCCCGGCCCGGCTCGGGCGGCGCGCGGAGTTGGGCGGCGGCGGCAGGAAACTTGGGCGGCACAAAGCCGCGGGCTCGGCGCGCGGCGCTCGAAGGACGCCCGGGCGCCGGGACGCGAGGACGGCGCCGGCCCGAGCCGGGCTTCCCTCGTCCTCCTCCCCGTCTCCCCTTTTGTTTTTCAGGTTTTCGGTCCCTCTGGCGGAAGCCGGCCCGACCTCCCCGCGCCCTCCCGCGCCCCGCGCCGGGCCTCCCCGCGCCTGAGGCCCCATCCCGCCGAGCGCCCCGCCGAGGGCCCCGCGCGCCCAGCAGCCTCAAGTCCCCGTCGCTCCGGCCTCCGCGCCCGCAGGCCACCCCCGCCGCCCCACGTCCCCGGCCTCCTCTCCTCCGAGGGCGACCGGGGGGAAGCCGCCCGCACCGCGGACGCGGCCGCGCTCCGCCCTCCGCCCCCACGACCACCGAGGCCCGGCCGTGCCCCGCACTCACCGGCTCGGCGAGCGCGAGGCTAAGCGGAGGCGGCGGCGGGGCGGCGCCGGCGACAGCGGCCGCGCTCCCTCCCACGCGCACGCCCGGCGCACGGCGGTCCGGCCGGCGGCGGGCTCGCGCCCTCGGGCCGTGCTGAGTCGGCGCGGGCCCGCGCGTGCGCCGTGCCTGTTGAGCCCCGCCGCGCCTCTCGTCCGCGCATGCGCCCCGTGGCCCGCGCATGCCCAGACGGCGCCGTGCCCGGGTCTAGGGTGGCCGGGGCAGCGCGGGCGTGGCGCCGCCCAGGAAAGCCCTGGCGGAGGTAGCGGCTCAAATCAACTTCTGGAGGCCCTTGAGTCGCGAGCCCCAAAGCAGCCGCTCCCCTGCCGCACCACCCTGGCCAGGGGCTCGTGGACCCCTTTTGCAGATACAGAAACTGAGGCTTGGATATTCTTTTAATGGCATCATAGCTAATGCTGGGCTGTGCCAAGATTAGAACTTGGAGGGAAGCTCTGACTGGGGTTGGAAGCCCAGCTGGACAGATTTATCCAAATGATCGCCTGCGGGGAATTGACCCGGGCCACTTGCATCTCTTTTCCCTTCCACTCCCCTGGGTCTTGAGTCAGGAGGATTCTCCCGGCATTGCAAGGACAGAGGGTCCCGACCTGGGAATCATCGCCAGGCTCAGGCCTTCTGGGATGGGGGCAGTTTGGGAGAGGAGCTGACTGGAACGGAATGTGGGGTGTAGGGTTAGGGGAACCACAGAAGGTGAGGTTGGAAAGATTGAAGGTGGTGAGGGGACCAAGACCTGCTTAAGGGCCTGAAACTTCCGCCACCTAAAAAGTAAGCCTCCGGCGGGTTTTAAGCAGGAAGTGATAACTGATTTATGAAAAAAAAATCACTCTGGCATCCTTGTGGTAGGAAATGAAACCAGAAGCAGGGCAATTTTCATTTTTATGGTGACAGTTTGAGTCTCACCGCAAGTCAGCGGGCAGGACAGGCACGTAGTCCTTTAGAAAGGTAAGCCCCCAGAAGCATCATCCCTTTCTCAGGAGCAGTAGTTCCACTCAGTAGGACAGGTATAATAAAATGTTTTTGTTTAGCAAGATTTTGTCATATTTAACTGTTCATTTTTATTGTTCTTTAGTGAAATATATGAAGGTTAGGGTTTTGTTCCTTGTGTTTTACTTCATTTAAATTGTAAAGGATTTTGTCTCCAAAGGGCAGCTCAGGGCCTTTTGCACTGGGCTCTGGGGCGGGGAAGGGGGGACTTTTTGTTCCCTCACTCACTTAGTAGATACCACCTCCTTGATGTCAACTGACCACTCTGTAATAAGAACTACTCAGCCAGGTACTATGTACCCATGCCTGTAATCCCAGCTACTGTGGAAGCTGAGGCAGAGGATCCTAAATTCAAGGTCAACCTTAACTACTTAGACCTTGTCTCAAAATGAAAAACTAAAAGGTCTGGGGCTGTAGCTCAGAGATGGTGCACCCCTGGGTTCAGTCCCCAGTAGGGGGGTGGTGTGCACCCACTCTTGGTTCCATCCTCTTACACGCTCCCCCACCCCTCACTCTGCTCTTGTTCTCCAAGGGTCCTATTATTCACCCAACCCAACACTGTGTTCTTGTGTTCCCAATTGTCTCCCCTTTACTAGAACGTTAGATTTATTAGAGCAGGGCCTTTGTTTTGTTCCCTAGTGGATCCTTGGCACATAATAAATATTTGTTGAGTGACTGAATGAAGCTTTGGATGAGGCGAAGTGAGAAGTATAAGAAGAGTATGGGCAATGGGGGAGGGGTTGCTCTCAGTGGGGTAGATGGAGAAGGACCACCAATTCTCTGACACCTCTCCCTAGTTATTCAGTCCCTGATCTGGACAGATCTTGTAACTTGCTTTGACCAATAGAATGTAGCACAAGTGCCATGGTACAAATGCTGAAGCCAGGCAGCATCCTTTCCATCCTCTTAGGCCAGCCCAAGCCAACACGTGAGCAAGCCGTATGGGAGAGATCTGAGGAGCCGCAGCCAGCAAGCTGCCAACTGCCAGGCATGTGAGTGAGGTGGCTACAGCAGGCCTCCCGGCCCTAGCCGAGCCATCAGCCAGTTGCAGCAACATGAGGCTGGGAGAAAAGAGTGAAGAGCTGCCCAGCTGAATCAGCACACACTGCCAAACCTCAGAATTGTGAGCAAATAAAGTACATGTGGCTTTAGGCCTCTGGGGTTTGGGGTAGTTTGTTACACAATAGATAAGTGACACATCCTTGTTCCTGGACCTGCCATGTTCATATGAAATCAGTATTCTTTAATGGCAGCTTTAATTCTTCTTAATAGGGAAAGTCAGGAAGCGATGGAAATGGGATAGGCAAACAGAAACAGCAGAAAGTGGAGACAAGCTAGGTAGTCATGGGCTTTCTGATCTTTTCTCTTGGCCTTCTTTGGGTGCTTGATACCTCAAGCTCAGGAATCAGATGGATATTGGTGCCAATCCAGGCCCAAGTTCACCCATTCGCCAGCTGTTGGGCCCTGGATAGGAAGTTTAACGTCTGAGTCTCTGTTTCTCATCTGTAAAATGGGGCTTGTACAGGATCTACATTAAAAACAGATGGCTGTGGAGAGGAAGAGAGCCAAACTCATACAGTATCAGAGTGCCTGGTGTATGAAGGCCACTGGGGAGCATAGCAATAGTATGTGGGTTACTCATAACCAGAATGGGGATGGAGGGGATGTTCAAAGGCTACCAGCATGTGGTATTTGGAGGGCTGTCCTGTCCTCCATTCCTAACCTCAGAGCAGCCCTGCCATGGGGACCCTGTTGTCATCACCCCCATTTCATGAATGTGAAAAAAAGAATGAGTCTGGTAGCAGGGCTGGAACCCTTTCCCCAGCAGTCTCTGCTATATTCAAACCCAGACAAGAAACAAAACAGAGCACAATTTGACTTCTCCCTTCCGGCCCTGTACCAGATGGGCCAAGTGCTGCCCTTGAGAAGGAAGCTTTCAGGAGAGACTTCCTGTATGTTGGCAGAGCAGCTTCACCGAGCCCTGGTGGCTGTTCCCCTTGAAAAGTCTCCTGACTCCCTGGTCTGGTTGATAAACCCCCCATAGTGAGGAAGCAGAAATACAAATACATGGCTGGGGGCACAGTAATGAGGGTGTGGAAGCTGGGGAGACACCGAGGCCTGTGTTACAGGGTGCATCACGCCTCTGAGCACCCTGCAGACCCCTCTGAAGAAGCTGGAATGAGAGAAAGTGAGACCCAGAAGACAGTGTCAGTATTCCTAACTGACACTGGTCCAGTAAGATGTCACATAGCCAGGGATCCTGGCCTTCAAGTTTAAAAATTCAGGGAGGAGAGAGCAGGGAGCAGCCGGATGGCGCTTCCCCGGGAGACAACTCAGTGGTCCCTAACAGGCTACTCAACCTCTCTGCCTGTCACCTTCCTGTCTGGAAAATGGGAAGAGCGGGGAAAGTACGCCCCAGGAAAAACGGACCCAAAGAGGGACCCCTTGGCCCTGGATCTGTTCCCCTCAACCCTAGGTATAGACCAAGCCAGGCTACAACCACCAAGAACATTCAGACCATGATCACTGAGCCCTATACTTGCAGGATGTCTAGACTACATATGCAGGTTTTGCTACAATTTGGAAATTTCACCCTCCATGGAAATGAAATGGACAGGTACGGAGATGTGTAGCTACTTACTCTTGAATGGGGAGGCACACCCACCAGCAGTGCCAGGAGGGCCTGCAGTGGGTGCCCTTGCCTACCCCCTGCACCATCAGGTATTCCAGGGCCCTCTGATACAGGGGGCACTCACTGGGCCTCCTCCACTTCTCACCTCCACCCATTTCCTCCAAAGGCGCCCTGAATGAGAGCGAGCAGATGCTACCTGGAGATGCAGGCCTACAGCAGGACCCAACCCCACAGTGTTCCCAGGGGTGCTGCTCCCTGGCCTGGGCCCCATACCCACTCCTACCCACCCACCCACCCTATCCCCCAAAACATATTCACACAGAGAGTCACAGGAAACCATCCCCTCGTCAGGGCTCAGCAGGTCCAGGCCAGGGACGAACCCCATCCCCCGCTTGACCTGGAAATTATAGTTGGGGCTCAATCACACAGTTCATCCAGACCTGTCATGTTTTCTGGATAATTCTGCTCCAAACCATTATCTCATTTATCAGAGGGCCCTGGAACAGCTGGTGGGGTGGGGGTATCTGCATGAGCAGAGGAGCTGGGACACCTGCTCTACAGTTGGATAAACTGAGGCCAGAAGGTGTAGCTCCCCAGGGAGTCAATGGCAGAGCCAGGATTCACATCCAACTTGTCTGGCTGTGCTCTGTAGCCTTTGTGTCCTGCTGGGTCTTCGTGCCCGAGGAGAGGGCGACCAGGCCGTGAGTAGCTGTACCTGTCCTCCAGGCCATGAGATTGTGCAGCTCTCTTCACTGTGTGAAGACCGCCAGCTGCAGGGCCTCTCTGCCCTGGTCTCCTGCAGCATGGCTGGAACTCAGTTCTTGGTGGGGTCCTTTGTTCTGATCAGCATCGAATCCTCATTACAAGAGTGTCCCCTGGTTGTAAGAGTCAAATTCAACAGAAGCTGTGTGCTTTCACGATTTCCAGTTTTTAAAACTTAAACAGACCACGGCTTTGAAGAGTTCCCATTTCTGCCACCTTCTCAGCCTCGCTTTTCTTTTCTGGGCCCCTGTCTGTGTTTTCCATCTCCGTCCTGATCTGAACTTGCCCTGTTTCCTAGTGGCAGGGAGCACTGCTGCTTGCCCTGCCTGTGATGAAGGAGCAGCTCTTTTTCCTTCTAATCATCGTGGACTCATACTTTTGTAAAATGCAATAAGAATCAAATTACTACAAATAAAAGAAAAAATTGAAAAGCAAAGACATACAGAATATAACCCCAATTTTATATATTTATTTTTTTGTATGCCAGGGATCAAGCCCAGGGCCTCCCGCATACTAGGTAAGTGCTCTACCACTGAGCTACATTCCTAGCCCCTCTGATTTTTATCATTAGTTTCAAAACAACTTTCAAATTGTTTCGAAAGTT